GAGGAAGCTCTCCCACACACTCACTGGACCTGGGCTAAGACTGGGTCCGGGGTTCCCGGAACACCGCAAAATTCCTACTGGGTGGGAGGGGTGGGTGATGTACTGCGGAGTGGTGGGTGGCGGCCCAAGGGGGTGGGAGAGGGTCTGGCCCACACTGCGCCTGGCCTAGGACTGGTCCCACTGGCGCAGGGTAGCAGGAAGCCCTCCACACACTCGCCGGACCTGGGCTAGGACTGGGTCTGGGGGTTCCAGGAAGTCGGCAGAAATTCCTACTCGGCGGGCGGGGTGGGGGAGGTACTGCGGAGTGGTGAGGGGTGGCCTGAGGGTTGTGGGAGAGGGTCCGGTCCACGCTGCACCTGGGCTGGGACTGGTCCCGCCGGTGCAGGGTAGCAGGAAGCTCTCCACACACTCACCAGACCTGGGCTAGGACTGGGTCTCTGACATTTCTCTGTCTTCCTATCAGTAAGAAAAATTGACATTAGTTTAGTTTTTTATTAGTCTGGTCATTATGAAGTGATAGTTATCATCTGTATTCTCCAGACATATTGATGAATTTAAGCATTTTATATGAATGCTTGTCATTTGGCTTCATGTTGTGTGAGATTTTCTTTATAATCAGCTTTTACCTCTTCGATAATGTATTGCATATGAAAATTTGTGCAAATATACATTAATGGTTTCCATGATACATGTAATTATTACATATATATATATATATATATATATTTCTTTGTATAGTGAATTCTTTGCCATACAGGTATAGGTACAGACTATCTATTTTAAGGTTTCCTGGCAATGCTAGTGATCTTTATTTTTACTATTGGGGATGAACCTCAGGCCACGTACCTGCGAGGCCAGAGCTCTGCCACTAGCAACATCACAGTCTAACACTTTACATGTTCCTTAACTCTTCAAATTTTACCTATTGTCTTGATCTATATTCCTTGCTAGTCATATGAAATATTTCTAGAAATAAAACTACTTTTTCCAAACATCACTTTCTAGTGTATTCCCTAACTTAAGTAATATTTGTTTAAAAAAAAAAAAAAGAAAAAACCTGTCCACGAACTCACCATTCCCAATTAACTTTTTATGCTTTCCTCATGAAAGAAACTTACAAAGTGCAGATCAGCTTATGCCTTGCCTCAGCTTAATCTTCGTCATATTGCTGTATCTTTAATAAGAAACGTGTGCTGAAGAACGTCTTCAAGGAGAAGTACGGCAAGGACACCACCAACGTGGGCGATGAGGGTGGCTTCGCACCCAACATCCTGGAGAATAAGGAAGCCCTGGAGTTGCTGAAGACTGCCATTGGGAAGGCCGGCTACTCGGACAAGGTGGCCATCGGCATGGACGTGGCCGCGTCCGAGTTCTTCAGGTCTGGGAAGTACGACCTGGACTTCAAGTCTCCTGACGACCCCAGTAGGTACATCTCACCCGACCAGCTGGGCGACCTCTACAAGTCCTTCATCAAGGACTACCCAGTGGTGTCCATTGAGGACCCCTTCGACCAGGACAACTGGGGCGCCTGGCAGAAGTTCACGGCCAGTGCTGGCATCCAGGTGGTGGGCGACCACCTCACAGTGACCAACCCCAAGCGTATCGCCAAGGCTGTGAATGAGAAGGCCTGCAACTGCTTGCTGCTCAAAGTCAACCAGATCGGCTCAGTGACCGAGTCCCTGCAAGCATGCAAGCTGGTGCAGTCCAACAGCTGGGGCGTCATGGTGTCCCACCGGTCTGGGGAAATGGAAGACACCTTCATTGCTGACCTGGTGGTGGGACTCAGCACTGGGCAGATCAAGACTGGTGCACCTTGCCGATCCGAGCGCCTGGCCAAGTACAACCAGATCCTCAGAATCGAGGAGGAGCTGGGTAGCAAGGCCAAGTTCACCGGCCGGAACTTCAGAAACCCCCAGAGCAAATAGGCTGCGGCAGGCCAGAGCCTGGGCCTCAGGCCCAGGTAGTTAGGTCCCCTCCTGCCACTGCTTCTGTAGACAGGGCCACCCGGAGCCCTTGACCCCAGCTGTGATCGTCATGCTTGTCACCTTGTGTCCCACAATGTCTGGAGCCCTGTGTGCACCTCAGGCCAGTTCCCAGTGGTTCTGTTGTGAAATAAACCCCAGTGCCCAGGAGAACAAAAAAAAATAAATAAATAAATAAGAAACGTGTGACCTCCACGGAGTTTATACACCAGTGCAAGGACACTCAGGGGTGTTTGTCTACAGGGCGCCAGCTGAGTCTCATCCCTGTCAGGCCCCACTGCAGACTTCAAAGCAGGCACAAGAGACCCAATGCTGCCTGCTATGTGCTAACATCTAAGAAGCCTCCCCAGCCCTCCGCTGCTGGAGGAAGCTTTATTTGTTCTCAAACCGACAGGAAGGTACTTGATGTCCAGTTACCTGGAAGCCCCGTTCCCACACCTACACTTCCTAGCTTTCCACACTTCCCAGACCAGTTGCCCTGGTCGCTTGTGAGGAGCCAGGCTTGAGTCTGGGGCCAGCCAGCCTCACACAAGAGATGATCGAACTGGAGCTGTGCCTGTCCTGAGATCAGAAACATCAGCATCAAACCCCAGTAGCTCCCCTGGATCTGGGGTCCAGGCTGCACAGAGGCCCAGGCATCACCAAGTCCTGCCAGCTAGTCTACGCCAGTCCTATAGCCACGAGGGGCACCAATCCTGGTGCCTCTGAGGTTCTGCAGCTCTAAGAGGGCCTGACCAGTGGCACAGGTGGAAAGGGGCAGGGTGGATGGTCACACAATCTCCAGGGCAGTGAATAGAGACATTTTCTCTGCAGATCTGAAAAGGCATGCCTTCTGGGTTGCAAATGGTTATAGAGGCTTTCCATTAAGCTGTGGGTGGGCCCACAGGGCAGAGGTGGGTGGGGGACCACATCTGTGCACCATGGCCACAGGCACTATCCTGGGCTCTTAAACTGTGTGTGTACTTGTGCTTGCACAGAGAAAGCCTGGGCCTGGTGAGACGTGCCCAGCACAGCAGGCCGCAGCCTGCACTCACTATCACAGCCTCAGTCCCTGACTGAGCTGACCCTACTGGTGACCCAAGTGACAACTAAGTCCAGTTGCCCCATTCTGGGTGTGGCTATAGATGAGCCTCACTGTCTTCCTGGCCCAGGCCACTTGAGAGGTGGCAGGGGCTAGTGAAGGGGCATCTCCTAAAGCCCAGCCCCAACACTCTGCACAGGAGTAACCTGCCCAGCTTTCCAGGAAATAAAGTTAGGCTCCTCTGGCTCCTTCTTGTGATCAGCATTTGCAAATGAGCGATTCAGGGAGAAGGGTTTAATCTGGAATCTTATATACAGAGATGGGCAGTAGCCTGAATTAGGTTTATAGATTATATCACCTTTTCCAGAGTGTTTGCCAAAAACAGCCATGTCCCACACCTAACTACAGCAGTTTAAACCAAATCTGTCCTGAGAAATAAGGAAGAACCTTCCCCAACTCAAGAAAACTGCTGTGCTTTTGAATTCAGGCTGTCAACCTTGCAACTCAGTGAGGCCCTGTCCCAAGAATGTAAAACAGGCTAGGGTTACATTCAATGCATGGGCTCTAGGCTCAATACCCAGTCCAGTGGAAGAGGAGTGAAGAAATGCAGATAAGAACTTGCAAACCATGTTGAAAAATTATTTTGTCTGAAGTCTAGTGGTAATGATTTTATATCTGGAGAGAAAATTCCATTTCATCACGCTATTATATCCTACCTGTGCAATGTGTAAGGCAGACAGCCTGAGTGTGGTGGTGATATGAACACCCAGGACTTCAGAAAAATAAAACACTAATACTACAGCTCTCTCCCATTCCACTGCCCAAGTCTGGCTCTGAGCTAGGAAAAGTACTTCTTCACAGCAGTGTAGGACAGTCCTGATATCCTTTCATCCAAACTTGCATTAGGCAACTGGTATTTTTCATGTTAGCAATTCAAGTAGGCTTGGGCTATAAAGCATCATGGTTTTTAATAGTATTTCTTTTAATAATAATAATAATTATATATATGTATATATATATATTTATATTTATATTTATATTTATATTTATATTTATAGTGTGTGTGTGTGTGTGTGTGTGTGTAACAGGGAATTGAGTTCAGGCCCTTGCACTTGTGAGGGAAGCACTTATTCCACTGAGCCATCTCCCTGGTAATTGTATTTCTTTAATGGGATTTTAGCTGGGTTTTTTTTATGGCTAATTATGGTGAATTTCATCTTTTCGTAAGGGTTTCTATAGGTCACTAAATTGCCAAACTGACCTGAAGCTTATGACTCTTGCCTCGGTATCGCATCAGGGTAATACACTGACAGGTTGCCCCACCACACTCAGCCTCAACATGTTTATTTAGCTATTTATTAAATTGTATTTCATTTCTTTTGCCTCTTTTCTAACAACACTTTTTTATTTTAAGGTTTGGGAAACTTTATACAATACATGCTACACATTTCTATCTTCACTGTAAAGTTCTTCACATAGATTGTCTAGTTCATGGTGCTGGCTCACCAAGAGCTCTAAGGGAGAGGAGCAGCCTCCTGCAGAACTTCTCCCAGGTCTCCACCTGGCCCTGGGTGGTGCTGACTCCAAGCCCTGGGAGGGAGGTATGGTTCCTCCAGACTCTGCAGAGCTCCTAATGAAGAAGGACTCTATGAGGGATTTTGAGCTCTTGGCCCTGAATGAGCCCCCTTCCCAATCCCTCAGATTCGCATAGATCCCCCTTGGAGGAGAAGGAAGGGCTAAGAAAGCCCAAGATATCAGCTAGCCCCAAGGAGAGGGCCAGTACGGACAACTGGAACATGAGAGTCCAGGCCACAGCAGCCCTGGGAAGGAGAGCCTGAAGTCTATGCGGAGCTCAGGACTCAGAACTTGGAACACATGAAGAGTGGTCCCAAGCCCCTCCTGAAGTTGACCCCGGGCCCCTGGGAATCTAGTACTCCACAAAACCTGGGTGCAGGCCAAGGTTGCCAGGATGCAGTGCCTGAGCACACTGTTGGCAATGCTCTGGGTCACACTCGAGAGCTGAATGAAAGTGGTGGAGATGGTGGCAGCCTGGGGCTCCTTGGGTATTTTCTCACACTGCATCCAAGTGGAATCCTGCAATGGGGAGAGTACATTTTTTTAAGTACTACTGGGGCTTGCCTCAGACCACCGTATCCCAAGCAAGGAGGGCGACCATGGATCAGGCCTGAAGCTCAGGAAGTCAGGACTGTGGCCAAGGCCTAATGGGAAATTCTGGTTCTGTTTCTCTGCCATTGAGGATGTCTTATGTAACAGTGAACCTGTTGTGTACAAGATGGAGCTAAGAATTGAACAAAGGAACCAGAACAGCAGGTCTTGATGGCAGATGCCTGAAAGGAGGCCATGCATTCTTTTCCTTCTGAGCACAGCCAATTCCCATGTCCCTCAACATACCCACAACCAGGTCAGGAGAGACCACCATCCTGTGAGGCTTTCATCTACTCACCCTGCGTTTCATGGTCATGGGTGCAGTCCAGACTGGCACCACTGGTACAAGTGCTCCTGCTCTGGATGGCTCCAGCTCCACAGTCACAGTTATGCTCATTTTCTTCTTTTGAAAAATAGACCTTGGGGGCTTTAAGGGTACACATGGCACTGCAGCTGTCAGGGAAGCTGACTCTCACGCCAGCATGGGTTGTGGATCGGCCTCTGGATTGGAAGCTGCTGCCTGAGCTGATTCTTGCTCTCCAGTTGGAACTGGAACAGGTGATGGTGCCAGAGAGAAGGTGGCCAAAATCAATCACTTGCTCAGAAACATTCCCTTCCTAGCCAAAAATCATCCAACCCTGAATGGAAAAGAGGTATGCTCCCACAGTGTTTCACTGCCTCTGGGGTCTGAGGCTCACGTTTGGGCCTGGCCTATCCCAGCCAGGAGCCCCCTCCTCTTGGGTCCAGAACACTCTCCTCTTCTGCTCTGGTGACCCCATCCCAGCCCTCCTCACCCTCACTCATGGCTCGCATGGTCTCCTGGTCTTCCAGCTGCGTCACTAGAAGGTACACACAGTGCTCCAAGTCTGAGCCAGGCATGTGCAAATGCACATACTCCACCAGCTGCTTGAGGCATACGAACTCCGGTGGCTGATTGAACTGGTCTGCGTAGTTTTCAAACCATATGTCAAAGATGGTAGAGATGGCACTGAGGGCAGATGGGTGGGCAGTGTCAAGAAACCCAGCCAAACTACAGGAAACCTCCACCGAAAGGAGCCCTAGATCAACTACTCCCCTTCTTCAGAGAAGCCCACATGTACTGCTCTGCAAACATGGGGGGTCCCTTAGTCAGTGGATGGTAAGCTTGTCAGTGGGTTTTGCTACCACCCACAATGACTCTGATGACACATCGACCTGCAGTTCATGCTGGCAGGCTGTCTCCATCTCTGAGGCACCTGTGGGTCTTCTCCTCACATCCACGTGCCTACTGAGGGGTGCAGCCACCCCTTACATTTACCAAGTTGCCTGGAAACTACTGCCAAAGTAGTAAGGCCAGGTATGAACATGCTGCTCCCCAAACAGCCACTGTGCCCTAGTGAGGGGTGGGGTGGGCACACATGGTTGGAATGTGCTCTGGTGGGGATGAATCTTCACAGGATTTCACACAAAGCCATGGGCTCCCCTCTGTTCCCTGGTCTAGGACCCCACACAGTGCTCTTATATTCTCTTCCTGCAAAGAAAGCCCCTGACCTCAGCCCTCCAGCAGGAAGGCCAAGTAGTGGAGCTGAGGTTTGCCCCCCTCCATATCACACCTCCACAGTTCCCCACTCTGCACACAGAAGCTTCCCTCTTGAGCCAAAGCCCACTCACTTTTTCAGTATATCCAGAGGCCCGCCACTCTTGCTGGACTGATGGAGGTTTTGGCCATACACAGAGGCCATGACACTATCACATCTGTAGTCAGCAAAATAAAATGGTACTTTAGGTGTGAGCATCCCTCCTTAGGGACAACTGGCTTCTCCAAACTTCCTCAAGATGAAGACTTAACTGTCACCCCCTCTTCTCCATAACCCAGATGAAAGCAGGGAACATAAGGATTCTGCCAAGGAACTCAAGCCCCATAGCGAGCAAGCCTGAAGTGCTGTCCTCTTTTCTTTTGTACCCTCTCCCCTCTCCACCTTCCTATGAAAGATCTTGCACACCTAGACACTGTCAGTTGATTTGAGGCTGAGTCAGCACCTCCATTCCATTCGAGTAAGATTTGAAGAAAGCCTTTCTCTTTTTCCCAAAAGTAAATGCCTTCCTTTGGTTAGCCCAGGAGTGAGCAGGTGGACCTGACAGGCTGGTAACCCACCAACCCTAACCTCTAATGGCTTCTTGTGTCTTCTTGTGCCACTACTCTAACCCAGAGATAAAGCCTAGGAGAGAAGGTAATTTCCTTAGCTCTGAAGTGGCACGTTGCTCAGTAACATGCCTATATACGATGAAGGGGTCATATTTGGGTGTGCCATGAGGGAACTCAACCATCTCCTTCTGAGATATCTCCTTGGGCCCCAGCCCCTTCAGTATACCCCCAGGGCTTCCACTCTGCCTGCATCCAAGACAGGAGTCTCCCCAGATGGAGTCCTGAGCCTCCCTTACAGATGGTGAATGTGCTCCACAGCTTCATGTAAAAGAAAACCAAAACTGAGGGATTCTCTGTGTTAATGAAGGGGACTGTCACACCAAGGGAAGCATGACACTAGGTGACTCATGTATGCAACAAGCCCAGCATAGACATTCTCGGGCTCCTTTGTTCCTGACCACACTGTACAGATCCTTCTATGAGCACCCTAGTTTCCACACAACATACAGGATCATTGAGTGATTCCAGATGGTACTGAGCTCCCCTAGTCTAGCAGATGGTGCACAAACCTTTGCAATAGCAGATCCAGCACTGCTGCATGGTACCAAATGTTTGGTAGATTTTAAAAAAACTTCTGGAGGAATAAGTGATTCCCTTTATGTGCAGATGGCACAAGAGAGTTGACCATAGTCTCCCTTACATCAGCCTTCAGAAGTTCAAGGCAAGCTTGAGTATCCACAGTCTGACCTGCCCCGTTTTCACCCTGCAGAGGGACCATGGAAACAGTAGTTGTATTAATCACATGTCTGTCTATGGAACCAGTATGCTACACAATTTCAGAGGAGGAGAGGCTTACTTGGGCTCACAGTTTTAGAGAGTTTAGTACATGTTTGGCAGACTCAAGGCAGAAATTCCAAGATCCAGGGGAATGGCAGAGGAAAGTGGTTCCACAAGCAGCCAGAAAGCAGAAAGGGAAAGAACAGAGGAGACTGGGGCAAAATATACTCTCCAGAGTCACAGCTACAGTGAGCCTCCTCCTCCACTTCGGCCCCAATTCCTAAGAAGACATTTGGCGATGGCATCATAGTGCATTAGTCCATCGATGAATGTGTCACCCACACAATCTCATCACCTCCAAAGGCCTCACCTCTAAGTACATGAGACATATGGGGTCATTTTATTTTTAAACTGCACCTTAAAAATGGTCAAATGACTGCTACATGGTAAGAGAACACCACAGATTTTGTGTTGACCCTCATTGATGTGCATACACGCGCACACACACACACACACACACACACACGGAGGTTTTGGACCCACACAGGGAAATCAGAGCAGTGTGCTGGCCTTTGCTAACCTGTCCTCGGCTACTGTGTGCCCCACTTTGACTCCTCTGAGAGAAGGACTACAGGCAGCTGATTAGTCAGGCACCCCAGTTTCTCCAGTTATGACTGAGTCCTCCTCTGTGAGGTCTCCTAGGGCCTGAGCCTTGGGAAGTCCGGAAGCAACAACAAAACATCTTCACATGTCCTATGTCTCCAGACAAGTGAGCAGGCGTCAGTTAGTTCTGTTATATACTGCTCAGCAATATAACACTACCTCATCGTGAAGTAAGTGAGGTCATCGACTGGGGTCTCCTTAACTGAACTTTTCCTCATACTGGACATCAAATAGCCCTGGGGCTGCTGGCTACCCCCGACCAACACCAGTACACAATCAGAAAAACACACTGACATAAAAGCACTTGAGAGCCAGGGAGATGGCTCAGCGGAATAAGCGCTTCCCTGGCAAGCACAAGGGCCTGAGTTCAATCCCCGGTTCTGACAAAACAAACAAACAAAAAAAGATTATATTTTAAAGGCCCTCCCTGTGGAGGAATGGTGCAGAAGCCTGGCTTTGGAGTAGGAAGGGGGATTGCTCCACAGCAGTGAATCACTCTTCACCCAGCTCCACCAAGAGAATCCAGCTCCTGTGGACAGGTGAATTTCTTCAGCAAGCCTTCGGTGGCTGGAAGTGTGACCCCAGTCTGTTATAAACTGCTTCAGTTTGTACAAAAAAAAAAAAAAAGCACTTGACCCACCCTCCCCAGGTAGGCAGGGCTTAGCTATCACCCAAGGAAAAAGATGGACCCTGTCAAGCTTACTCAGGATTAGCTTTAGATGTTAGGGTTTAGGACTAGATGTTAGGGTTAACCTTTGTTGTGACGGTCAGAGTTGGATTTACATGTTAGAGTCAGAATGAGGGGTTAGGATTCAGAGTTAGGGTTTAAGGTAAAGGCTCAGTGTTCCATGAAGGGTTATGATGTAAGGGTGTGGCTAGGGGTTAGGTCCTGGTTTAGAGCTACTGTGTTATGATTACAGTTAGGTTTGCATTAGAGTTAGATTTATGTGTTATTGTTTGAGTCATTGAGACAACTACATCATGCTTTAGTGCTAGGGCATTGGTTAAAATGGGGTTAGAGTTAGAAGTTAAGATCTATGCTGACAGCCTTTGGTTTTCCTTAAATGTTACATTTAGGGGTTAGGGTTAGAATTATCTTCATGGCTATATTGGTAATAAAATGAGAAGTTTGACTAAATTTGGAAACATACAAGATTTTCAACTTTCAATAATTCTTTGTCATTCCTAAAATTTAAATCCCCCGAATACACCTTCAGCAATATAAATATTTAAAATCATTTATATGCATACTGCTATTTTTCTCCTTTCACAGTTTTTGCAAAGCGTCATCATGGAAGTTGATTTTCAGCATCCTTTTAACTTTTTTTAGATAATCTCATTCTAGAATATTAAATCACCACAGTTACAAAATCTATTTACATTTTTCTATTCTTTGAATGCACTTTTGTGCCAGAACTCTGACTGTACCTCTCGCTGCTGAAGGGTATGCATGGCTAGTAAGTATGTAAGAAATGGAAACTTAAAGTGGCCAATTTTGAGGACAAAGTAATTAATTCTAAGTGGAAAATTGCCTAATAGCCTGTTCATGTGACAAAGTTCCTGCATCCAGGTCCCTATGCAAATGGTACCATAACAGAGAGATAAACTAGTAAGAAAGCCTTTATTGAAAAATGTAAATGTAGGTACAAAAGGAAAATGAAAGGCCTAGAATGACCCATTTTCATAATAAGATAGCTAGAGCTAAGTGGAAAGGGAATAACTGCAAGGTCACATAAAATCTCTAAACAGACACACCTGTTCTTTGGAAAGTCCAAAAGTAAAGAACAGAAGGTCTTATGAAGAAATCCAAACTCAAATTGTTAGAAGGACTAGGAAACTGCCTTAGCAGGAGAGACACAGGCAATGTCCAGGAAAGGCTATTGCCCTTGTGGGACTCAGCCACTGAGCTAAAAGGGAAGGAGAGGGAACCTGCATGCTGGGAGAGAATGAGCTGTCACCATGATGCGTAGTGTAGGTGAGCTTGCACCACAGACACCAGCCTCGCAAGACTGAATTAAAGCTTCGCTTTGGCTGCTCTTCCCGTCTCTGAGTACATCTGTTAGGGCTGGAAAAGTGAAGGTATTTCTCACAAGACTAGGTCAGTGATAAGGAGTCAAATCAACCATCAGAATTTAATTCAAGGGGCTGGTGAGATGGCTCAGTGGTCTAAAGCACCTACTTAGAACAAGTTTAGCAAAACACATGGACCGCGGGTCAATCCCCAGCACCACATGCCAGCCAGCCCCGCCCCCCTGGTGGGCTGAGCTGGCCACACACACACGCACACACGCAAAAATAAATAAATAAAAATTTTTAAAAAAGGAATTTAATTCAAGGAGCTGGGGAGATAGCTCAGTGGAATAAGTGCTTCCCTGGCAAGCTCAAGGGCCTGAGTTCAATCCCCAGTTCTGCCAAAATAAAAATAAAAATTAAAAAAAAGAATTTAATTCAACAAAGCCACTCTTTCGAAAATGTATGGAAGAACCATTTTGTATCTTTATCTACAAAATGGATAGGACAGATATACAGCTACTTTCTCTTAATTCAATAAGAAAGATTTGTATTAATAGCATTTGTACAGGATATGATATCTGCATCTTGTACTATGAATAAAGTTTTATAAATAAAATTAATTTAAAGAATAACAAAAATGTTCAGGTATAAGTTGAAATAGAGTGTGTGAGGTGTGAGGTGTGAATTTACATTTTCTGTGTAATGAACAGCTTTTTAGATAATAATCCCAGGATATGGCCACAGCGTAAGAAAAAATATATAATGATGTTAACATATATGTGTTATTACTTCAAGACAAAATATGTAAAGCTCTTATCTTGACTCATATATTATTTTGTATTATTTAATTTTGTCCAAATGTCCTTAATTAAAACCAAAATGAACTAAGATTATCAAATACTACCAACTAACTGTATAATAAACAAGCTAGTGTTTGAAATCCTGTGACCATGTCTTAAAATAAAATTTTTTGTCCTCAAAGATATCATTTATTATATTTTGCATTATCCTCACAATCTTTCTAGATAGGCATACATAATATAGAAACACTGTATGAAAAATCTCGTATATTGAAGCTAGAATTTTACTTTTCCAAACCATTGTAAGATAAGAAAAATGTAGTCTCTCACACGCACATTACCACATTCTCTCTAGTAGTCTGCATATCTTACAGTATCACATATTTATGTATATGGCAGTTGGAAATAAGAGAATACCTTTTGGTTTTCTATACTAGGTTACAAGTTTTAGAAGTCCTGAACCTAGTACAAGAAAAATCTTCATTTGAAACCTCAGAGTAGTCTCTTTACAATCTAAATTATATTTTTTGGAAAGTCAAGATATTTGCTTTGTTCTATTTATTTCTTTAAGGGATGGGGAAGAGGTTTTAAAAAAAAAAAAAAAGTTCTCTGTTTCCAAAAGCTTTCCCAAAGACCAGGGATTCATTTTCATGACACAACAATATCCTCAAAGCTTCTATGACAATCTCAATTCAAATACCTATGTTTTCTGAAATCCAGTGTATTTATCTGGACATGTTCTTGTTTACATATGAAAGAAAGGAACCAGCACTTTGGCTTCAAAAGCAAATTTATAATTACAAATCTAACTTGCCTTTGATAAGGGACCACTCAGCTAAGACAGCCTCAATCATTATATCTAAGGAAACTGGAATTAATTAAGGGACTGCTGCTTCAAATAACTATGCCTCCAATAAGGGAAGGAGAGAGGAATTCCAAGTCCATACACCACTTTCAGAACTAAATATCAACAATCTCATTCTTTCAATATCTATAAATAAAGTAAATGAAGGAAAGAAGAATTACATGAATGTTAAAAAGTACATAGAAAACTCAATGCTTTTCATTACATTTGTCACTTACTACATTACAATAAAATGCTTGTAAGAAAATAATCACGTAAAACAAAAGGGTAGTTATGGTTCAGAAGCTTTTGAGAGCTGGGCAGGACGGTACACTCCGGTAATCCCAGCACATGGAGGCTGAGGCAGGGGGATCACGGTGAGTTCAAGGCCAGCCTAACTTGCACAGTGAGACTCTGTCTCAAGACCAAAAAAAAGTTCTCCAGAGCGTGCAAATGATACATTCCAGGAGCACTTGGGACACTGACGCAGGATCACTGTGAGTTTGAGGCCAGCCTGAACTTCACAGCTGAAACCCTGTCCCAAAAAAGAAGGGAAAGAAAGAATGAGGATCACTTGCCCTGACTTAAATTTAATCCCCTGTCCTGAAACAGATCACTCTGCAAGCTCAACATCTACACTGGGCCTTGAGAAGTCAAAGCAGAAAGTAAAATTATACAAAGCCAGAAATTCCATCAATACATCTAGACAGATGTTTGCTTGTAGTTTTTGGTATCCAAAACTTTTTTTCCACACATCTCACAGATGCCTTTCTTGTAAGCACAGCCCTGGCAGTAGTGGGACCCTGGCTGGTGCACAGAGCTTTTACAAATTCTGCAAGTGGAGAACTTATTCTTTCCATATGGATCGAATCTTGCCTTTTTTGAAGTCAATGCTTTATTTTCATTCAGTTTTCTTCCACCACTTTCTGTGGTATTTCTCGAACCATCTTTCCATGTGTCCGGTGTAATAACAGTACCAAGTTTCTTTTCACATTTTTCGCACTCCATCCTCGTGCCTATTAGCCCCTCAGCCACAGAAGGTCCAGCAGCTCGAAAACATCAACACTGTAGGCGCACAGGGCTCCCCTTCTGGCTACCTATTTTAGAGTAGTTTTACAAGTACATAAAAACTGTGAATGAAGTGCAGATTTCTCCTGCAGGTTTATTTCTCATGTAGTTTCTTGTTTTCTTAACATCTAACCCTAACCCAAAGCAAGGTGCTTGAAGTAGCAAGAAAGAGAAAAAACAATGTGGACTGGCTTAACAAGATGTAACAATCATTAATGGGTTTAAAGTGATAACATTTATGAGCTGTAGTTCAAAACATCCAAATATTGTTGTGCAGTTTATGCAATGAAACACAGTAATTTCCAGCTTCCAGAAACAAATGCAGCTACATTCCCCACTGAGCTGACATGGCGGCTTCTCAGGATGCCAGGACGTTGCAGGCTTC